AAGTATTTTTACCATTGTGGTTTTAAAAGTAACTGCTAACCCTAGGCATTTATAGCTTAGTGATGGAGAGCCAGCCTGCCTGAGTTTAAATCTGGGTTCCTTCACTTGCTGTTTGACCTTGGGCAAGTCACACACTTCTCTGTGCTTCCGTTTCCCATCTGCAAAATGAAGGTAATAGTAAGACCTACTTGATGGATTATTGTGAGGATGGAGTTAATACAGGTGAAGGTCTGTAGAACAGTGCCCATAACACTGAGTGCCTTGTAAATGTGGGCTGATGTCACTTCTCCCTGATCACCAAGTGGTATGGATCAAAGGCAGGGGTCACACTCAAACAAAATATAGCTCTGAGCAGCTGACAGTGCAGACAGTGTTTGGGTTTAACATCCACTTCTAAAACATGTCCTGCAAGACCTTGGGTGACAGTTCCCAGCTCCCCCATTCAGGTTTCTGTATCTCTGTTGCTGTATTTATCTCATATTTAGAAAAAAAATATTGGCTGCCTCATGATTTCAAAAAAAAATTGTTATATTATGAATTATCCAGAAATGAGTAGATACATCCTATATAATAAAAGGGTAATATGCAAATCGACTGAACAGTAGAACAGCCGGTTGCTATGACACGCCTGACCACCGGGGGCAGACACTCAATGCAGGAGCTGCCCCCTGGTGGTCAGTGCGTTCCCATAGGGGGAGCATCGCTCAGCCAGAAGCAAAGAAGCTGGGCTTATGGCTGGCAAGTGCAGCGGCGGCAGTGCTAAGGATGTCTGACTGACGGCTTAGGCCCGCTCCCCACCAGGACATCCCCCAAGGGCTCCCTGACTGCGAGAGGGCACAGGCCGGGCTGAGTGACCTCCCGAGTGCACCAATGTTGTGCACTGGATCTATAGAAGGTATATAAACTTAAAATAAACTTATTACCATTTTAAAATCTACTAGAATTTAACACATAACAAGATGAGAATTTCGATTATCTCATAAATCTAAATTCTCTGGGTTTTGTCATAGCTTTAGAAATCTAAAAATTATTAGTTGACATTTTAAGAACTAAGTTACAGTTGCAATTTAAAGTGTACACCCATGCACACACACAACAACACTCTTGAGCAGTTGCCATGACAACATAATGCCGAGCCTACCAGGCTCTCTGTTATCCTGCTGCTGATGCTGTGCAAAAACACACTCACATTAGATTCTTTACCAAGTAATTGGAAAAGGTTAAGAAAATCTACATCTACTAGTACATGGTTTTCACATGTGTTAGAACTCAGAAAAGCAAGTACTAAATGTTTTTTAAGAGAAGAATTTAAAATTAGTAACTGCAAGCTCAATTGCGGATCAAAGTAGCCCCTATGTTAAAGAGAACGGGGAAAAGGCTTTTCTTGTATTTTGTATGCTATATCCATTTCATCAGCTCCTCCTCCTAAATTGTGCCATATTATTTTAATGGAATAATCAATTTGTATAATACAATTTGGTTAACAGAGTCTCTTATTTTACTAACACATTTAAATACTTTCCTTCTTTGGCCACATATATTTCAATTCATATGGGAGCCCACACTTTCACATGCTAGTTACACATAAGAAAGAAAAATTGTCTCTAAGTTAACTGGAGTCTGTATGTTTATAAAAAGATGGAAAAGGTTAAAAAAAATAGTGTTGAACAGACTGTCAAACCTCAGAGGGAAGGCAGGGGAGGGTAGGGGGTAAGAGATCAACCAAAGGACTTGTGTGCATGCATATGAGCATCACCAATGGACACAGACACTAGGGGGGCGAGGGCATGTGCTGGCGGATGGGAGTGGCTGGGGAGAGGTCAATGGGGGAAAGAGGAGACATATATAATACTTTAAACAATACAGGATTTAAATTAAAAACAAATAAATAATTAGTGACAGGGAGAGAAAGAAGGGATAAGCAGCCGTTTTGAAGGTTGTGATAAAACACCGCCTTGGTTCTCCTCCCCGCACCGGCTCTGCCTCCCTTGCAGGTCTCTGTCTCGACTGGTAGACCCAGACCCCTCAAGACTCAGCTGTAGCTCTTTTCTCTCTCTACTCTCGTTCCCGAGGGGTCTCACCCTTAGCCAGTGGCTTCAATGGTCACCCAGGTGCATATACAGCCCCAGAAGGCTCTCTGTGAGTTCCAGGTCAGCTGAGTCAACTGCTTCCCAAACAGTCCACTTGGATGCTACTTTAAAGACAAACTGGATCCTTCTGTTGTGCTCCTTACCTTGGCAAATGGCAGCTTTGAATGGTCCTAACACAGGTATACTCTATACCAGGGGTGGGCAAACTTTTTGACTCGAGGGCCACAATGGGTTCTTAAACTGGACCAGAGGGCCGGAACAAAAGCATGGATGGAGTGTTTGTGTGAACTAATATAAATTCAAAGTAAACATCATTACATAAAAGGGTACGGTCTTTTTTTTTTTAGTTTTATTCATTTCAAACGGGCCGGATCCGGCCCGCGGGCCGTAGTTTGCCCACGGCTGCTCTATACCTATCTGCTAAATGAATAAATGGATGAATGAATGAATCAATGAAACCTGTTACACAAACCAAACCACGTAAGGGCATCCTTGACACGGCCCTCCTCCTCTATGATGAGCCAGTATCCAAGTCCTGTCCATTTCACCTCCTAAACATTCCCCAAACCCCTTGCACCTCCAAACTCCTCCCAGCCACTGCTCTCTCAGGCACCAGCCTCTGCCTGGATTGCCGTAACAGCCTCTCCACTCTCAATCAGAAACACACGATGTAGTACACAGTGAAGTTAGGCAGTTCCTATCTGTTACATAATTTAGTGAACTGGTGAAGTTGGTCAAGAAAGGGGAAGCTCATCTTTACTGAATGTCACCTATATGCCAGGCACTGATCTGAACACCTCGCAGGCACTAATCTCCATACGGACCCATTTCCTGGAAGACTTCAACGGAGCATATGACATCTGGAGCCTCTCCGGGCCACAACCTTTGCTGTGTCCGGTGCCAACAGGCAGAGAATGATGATCACTGCTTATGGAGAACTTTTTCCAGACACTGGTCTAAGTGCTTGGTATTCTTTCATTAAGCCCACCTACAAAGCAGGTGTGATTATTGCCCCACTTTGCAGATGAGGAAACTGATCTACACAAGACTTGTTATTTGCTCAAGGTTAAAAAATAACACAACAAAACATCAAGTGGTAGATCTGTGATGCTGTGATTCAGGATATGAAACCAGTTCTGTTTAAGAATTTACTGAACACCTGTTTAACTTACAGTAAGTTATCCGAACTGGTGAGGATATACAGTTAGTTAGAAGAGACAGGCATCCCTGCCTTCAAGGGTCTTGCATCGAACATGGAGAGTCAGTCTGCAGGGTCAGAGCTGCTTTGTCATCTCAGCTCTCCCCAGAGGAGAGCAGAGTTCATGGAGAGATGCCTCCTTCAACTCCAATCTCACCTCCAAAGGGTGCACTTTAAGTCGAGGCTGCCATCTCTTCTCTGCCCCCACAGCTACACAGTTTTCCTCAGATAAGATAAGGTACCAGGAGAAGATGTTTATGCTTATACTAATATGGTGACAAGATAATGTTTTTCTTACAAAATCTTTATTAAAAAGCACTGTGAATGGCATGAATACAAGTGTTTTTTAAAGGTCTAATCTAGTACTCACAGTTTTATAACTCCATCTGGGCACCTGGAACAGAGCTGCTGGCTGCTCTTGTCCTGCTGATGTTGACTCTGACCCAGCTGAACGAATCTACAAATTACAATGGATAAAAAGTGAGCTAGGGAAGAAACTATTGGCAATACAGTCAGTAAAGCATGGGATGAGCTTTCAAATGACAATAGTGTGCTTATGTCAGAAAAGCCCACAAGAGCACCCCATGGAACACAAGACTGCTCCTAGACGGTTGCCTGATTTTAGAGTGGGTCTGTGAGAAGGAAGAGAAATTCTGCTTAAAATATATCAGAACCATAGATATAAGAATGATAAGAAATGTGTACTACATTGCATTTCTATTTATTTAAACATGATTAAAAAAAACAAAAAAAAAACAAAAACAGAACCAATTGTTCCTGAAGCTAAGCAGCTGATCTCTCAGGGCCTCACATACCTGCGGGTGGCCGTGGCAGGAAACATGGGAAACGAGGGGAGAGGTTTGTGGTGAGACAAACGACAAGGACAGGGCGGGACCAGGCTGGGGACCCATCCCCTGCAGCAGACGCTGCTGAGAACCCAGGATCCGGACTCAGTTTCCTCAGGACCACGAGAATCGCCAAGTATAGCCCAGTCACTGCGAAGAGTACTTTTAACACAGATGGAGAGGACCGAGGAGACCAGCGACCGACCGCCACTGTATACCGCCCCTCCTTAGAGAAGACTGGGGCAACACCAAGCCTGTCTTAGAGCTGAGAGCCACAGGGAAGTGCCCGGGGTCTCAGCCGGGTAAGAGGATACCATGATGGCAGAGGGCCCCCAGCTATTTCTCAAGAGCAGACCTGCCTGAAGCGTGGCCTGCAGTTTTGCTCTATGTGCCCTGAGGAGGTCACAGGGCGGGATTACAGGGCTGATTCCCTTTTCACTTTTCTACTATTTGAAATGTTTTCTTTTGACGACTAAGGATACTTTTATAATTTATTTTTTAAGTAGCTTTTTTAAAGGTCAAGCAAAGTGCTGTAGAAACTAGCAATGATTAAATCACGGGCTACTGAAAAACTTTTAAATAGCTTACTTTTATCCAACTTTATACTTTTACCAAGCGAACACTTTGGATGCATTTTTTAAAAAAGAATGCCACATAGCATTTAATATTTGTACAGAACTTTAAACTTAGCAAACCATGTGCACGATCATGATCAGAATTTAAAAAAAAAAAAAGATTTGGCAAAGGTCTGGGGCTTTGAGGAAGTCAGTAAACTTCTGAGTCTGGTCAAAATAGCAAACCAAAGATATCAGAAAAGATGTGGGCAAAGGGAGGTACAAAGAATAGGGCTCAATAATTAGAACAAAACCATAAAACTGAGAGATCTTCAGGAGTCTGAAAATGGTTGAGGGTCAGCATAAGAAAAAAAAGGCAGGAGAGCAGGTAGCAAGAAGACGGGCCGTAGAAGCCAGTTCTGGCTGCATCGCCTCCCTCCCCACAATGCCCTGTGGTCGCCCAGGTGGCGGCTGTGACAGGCAAGCCAGGCGACCGCACCATCTTCACATGCACAAACTCTGGTGAGTCAAGCCGAGTGGGTGCAGAACAGCAGTGGGAGAGGGCGCCTCACAATACAGGGCAGAATCCATGGGCTCTCGCCCTGCCCTGGAAGCTCCGCTCTCTGGGTCAGAAGAGGCAGGAAGAGCACCAGGACCCAGCATCATAAGCAGAGGCAGCTGATACAATCACGAGAATGAAGAGAATGGCACAGACTAAGATCACAGACACCCCAGAAGCACAGGACGGGTCTCCTGGATAGGCCACTGCATGGCTCTTCCTGCGCCCTCAGCCTTTAGAGGGATAATAACATCTTTTCAGTCTACTACGGAGCTGTCTAAAGAACAGGTAAAACACTGTGACGTGTTATACCCCTCAAAGGAGGAGGTGTTGAACTTCAGAACACCAAGCGCAGACTCTCATTCCAGAACATGGGATCCTTCCTTCCTGCATAATCCCTTCCCCGCAGGCCTGCTCTGGCACCTTCTGAGACTGTTTCCCAGGGGTGTTGTGGCTGAACAAGGCTGGATCTCACTCCCCAGAAGGGAGAACTAGAAGTGGGCCTCAGGGGCCGTCTGAGCTACAAAGGCCGCAGGTGAAAGTCATGCCTGAAGCAAGAGACACTTTTTGCTTAATTCACATGAGCCCACATTTCAGTCCTTGACACGTACACTCACGCTCTCTGCACTAGGCAAAGTCATATTCATTCCTAACTCCGGATAATGCATTCTTCCAGCCGTGCTCCTGACAAAGGCCGGCCTCAACCGGTAAACAGTTCAGCTGCACTGCTGACAACGTGAGGAATAAGCCACTGCATGTCTGTGTCGGGTGAGGAGGGTGTGGCTGAGTCCTGAACGACTCAACTTGCCTCTGGTAAGACAGCGATGCAGTCACACCAGTGCCTTTGCGGCCAAGAAAGGCTGTGCATTTTTGTATTTTACATGTTATATCAGTGATGGCGAACCTTTTGAGCTCGGCGTGTCAGCATTTTGAAAAACCCTAACTTAACTCTGGTGCCGGGTCACATACAGAAATTTTTTGATATTTGCAACCATAGTAAAACAAAGATTTATATTTTTGATATTTATTTTATATATTTAAATGCCATTTAACAAAAATCAACCAAAAAAAATGAGTTTGCGTGTCACCTCTGACACGCGTGTCATAGGTTCGCCATCACTGTGTTATATAGCAGGTTTTACTAGCTTGAAGGAAAAAGCTGACAATATCCGGTACGACGGATTCTATAAATGCAATACCCTCCTTAAAAAGGAATGGTAGGTCAGTGCTCATATATATTACAGAGTTTACATATGTCAAACTTATATGAATGAAGGACCTCTTTATAGAAGTATCATAGCTCTACATTTAATGAAAGCCACTGCGCTTGTGTTTTGATTGGAAATTCCTTTAGCATCAGATGTTTAGAAGCTAATAATATCTGCCACTGAAATTCACATCCATAGAAATGCTATAGTTTCACAGAACTTTGTTTTAAGAGGCACTGTGCATGCAGAGCTCATTTCCAGTTTGACAGAACTGTACTTAATTCTCTATTATCCTTCACTTTTTAAGGGCTGTCCTCTAATGAGAATATGTTCTATCTTATTGTTAAAATCTAATTACATCTGCTTTAGAATTTTCTAAGACAGACCTTTGCGTCCTATACTTGTGAATTTTGACACAATAATTACTAATAAAATTCCACTGAAGCAGTGAAAAAAACAAGTCTTCTCAAGGCATGTATTAGGCTGAGGGGGTGTTTACAGTGGACCCATCAGTTTCCTGAGGATTTCCAGGTGAGGGATTCCTTTGATTTTTTACAGGGAGGAAGGGAGACGGATAGAGAGTTAGAAACACCGATGAGAGAGAAACATTAATCAGCTGCCTCCTGCACACCCCCTACTAGGGATGTGCCCGCAACCAAGGTACATGCCCTTGACCGCAATCGAACCTGGGACCCTACAGTCCATAGGCGCTCTATCCACTGAACCAAACCAGTTAGGGCAAGGTGAGGGATTCTTTTGAGAATCTCATAACTACTAATCTTCTCAGAAAAACACACTTACATGCAAAGGTATGTACGTGATTTCAGGGAATGCCTTTTGGAGGATCCTCTCCCCCAGCTAGACCTGCCTACCCAAGGGCTATAACATCCTGAATCAGCTCCCTTATATCGTTGCTTCCTTTTTCCTCCTCAGACACCCTTCCCACCAGCAGCTCAGAGCTAAAGTGACTGCAATATCCCAGGTTTATTTTGTACCTGATCTTGAGGATTGTTTACTGTAGAACTGTGTTTGTACTTCAGTTTACAGCTTATATGTGGGCAGTGAAAATACATGTACTCATCATAAATTTTTATCTCAGGCAGTAGGTCCCCTATTCAAATATAAATCAGTGTTTCTGAATTTGACCTTCTAAATGCTATTACTATATTCCAGATGGAATTCGTTTCCTTCTGTATTGACTATTTTAATTTTTTAAAGTTATACTAGATATGTTATTGCAGTAATACATTTGCATTTTTTCTCAATCTCTACATGGAAGTAGTTTACCTTGAATAAATGGAGAGATCTTCCTCTGAGATACCATCGAAGAGGTTAATCCCATATACCTCTTTCATGGGCTGGACCACATTCTGGGGTTAAAAAAAAGGGACCAGGAAAATTTTTAGACATCTAGAATATAAATTATTTCCAAAGTGTGAATTTTCCCACTAAAGGAATCACAATGTTTCTTCAATCTATTCATTAAACTTCTCAGTTAATGTTTTTTTTAATTTGATTTTATTTCCACTAAAAATAGTTTGTTTTAGGGTAAAAAAAACTGCTAAATAATTATTAGTGGTGTTTATATAATACAGGAGTTAGCAAAAATTTCTGCAAAGGACCAGATAGTAAATATTTTATGTTCTTTGGGTCATACCATTTCTACAGCTACTCCTCACCTCTGCTGTTACAGACAACATATAAGCAAGTTAAAATCAGTGCCAATAAAACTATATTTACAAAAACAGACAGTGGGCTGGACTTGACCAATTGTTTGTAGTTTGCCAACTCCAATAAAACTTTATTTCCAAAAACAGACAGTGGGCTGGATTTGACCAATTGTTTGTAGTTTGCCAACTCCAATAAAACTTTATTTACAAAAACAGACAGTGGGCTGGACTTGACCAGTCATTTGTAGTTTGTCAACTACTAGGACAATAGATTCAGTTCTTGTATTATCACATTTTGTCATATCGACCTCTAATGACTTCTAGCTATGTCTAGAAATCAAATTTCCCCCCAAACTAGATTTAGTTTTTCTGTTGTATACTTTTATTTTCCCTTACTATATTGGTAATATCAAATTGAGCAGGATGAACTGCCCACTGGGGCTACGCAGAGATGGTGAGGCCCAGGTCCAAACCCTGCCTTCCAACAGTGTGCTGAGCAAGGGAGTGAACGAACCGCAAGTGGGTGGGCTGCCCAAAGAGGCACAGGATTCTCTTAAAAACTCTGAAGAAATAAGAATTTCACTGTTACACCTGGGAGCAAAAGCACTGATTTTACTGCAAAATGAAGCCATTTCCATTTTGTCTGTCTATGCTGGATGTCTTTATCTCCGCAGTGCCTCCACCACCACACATTACACGTGATCTCATTTCAATGGTGTGAGTGAGATAATGTGACCTATTCTCGCTCTCAGCCTTTCTCCTGAGAGTGGAACTTAGAGATCGTTCCCCAGTGCCTCACGCTGGACCACGCGCTCCTCTCCCCACACCTCGGTCACTTTGGCGCTGTCCCCCGCGTCAGTCATCTTCACTGGGGTGGAGCGCTGAGACACAGAGCCCTCCTCCTCCCGGTCGGTCCCGGAGTCGTCATCAGAGCTGCTGGACACAGCCTCCTCGCTGGGGGGAGGCGGGGCGCTGGCCGCAGTCTTCCGCTGTAATACAGCTTCCTCTCTATTGCTTTTGTTCCTTTGAAATGATAAGTATGAAGGTGAGCATCTTTAAACAGAACCCTCAACATTCACTGTGCATCACTCTGTCCCAAAACCTTGGCCCTGGTGAAGCATAAGAAAATGACTGCGAGAAACTAGTTTCTGAGTTCAAGTCGTGCTGAAGGGAAAACCTTCATATTTTACCATGTACAAGTATGGGCCCTATATGAATTTCAATCCTGTTATAAATTCTGGAAGAAAACCAGTACATGCGTGTAAACCTATGCAGAAACGTCTCCCGGCCACTTGGTTATTGTGCCTTCTTTTGGTAACTGAAATCGATACATTCAAACTTTATGGTACAATAATAGGCTATATGTTTTGAGATATTAGCAAAATGACCTATAATTTGTAAAAGCTTCAAGAAAAGGTCAAAAGCCAAATCCATGTATATTTTCTTCCCTCCTATGGTTTCTCTCAATCACAGTATCAGCTAATTATTTGAGAATATGAATAACTGATGAACATGAACTAAATTTTAAAGTTTATTGTGCTATTAGTAAATAATTATATTTGCTGAACATCCCTTCTAAGAGTAGGGAATAGATTGGGGGGGGGGGGGGGGGAGAAAAACTGACACATAAAAGTATTTACTTTTATTTTACTTCCAAAT